TCGTCAGATTATATATTTTTCGTTATCCTTGAATTATTTATTTCAAATTAAAAAAAAATAGTTCCGCTCAAGAATGTCGAAATGACGTTATTTTTTTACAACTTTGCTGCCCTCCCCTTTCTTTACGTCACTCTCAAATTGTCAGATAACTGGAATATACACTTTTTAGCAGGTACTCAACTCACCCTACTTTAATCTGACGCGCTCGAGAATATCTGATGATCAATTTTTTTTTAGTAATCTGATCCTTCATCCCTCACAGGCGGCCTTATATATGGGGCTCATATTTGGTGGAGGTATTTAACCGGGTTCAAGGTATCTTCCTATATATTAATCTGCCGCGCTTTAGAAAATCCCGAAAACCTCTCTTGGGCTCCCCTATTAAAAATTATTGATGTGAATAGTTGTAGATCTGTGGTTGTAGACTATAAAAAAGTCAATATAATGTAAACAACACACAATTTCTCAAGTATTCTGGGATTCAAAGCAAAACACTTAAGTGTAAACACTATAACCAAATTTGCTACAGATCTCAGGTTAGTTGATTGGTGCATTCTTGAATGGTGTAACAAGTCCTTTGAATTAGCATTTTTTTTCAGCTGACTTTTGAATACATTTATATTTGGGAAATTCTTCTAAGAGCTATTGGAAGCAGATTGTAAAATTTTCATCCACTACTCTACACTTTTTCCATACCAAAAAGTTCTTGAAGCGTTTGGCAAGATTAGATCTTTAGAACGAGTATCCACCCATTGCCCATTAGAAGTTTATGTTTGGTTACCCGATTCGAAAAAGAACTGTTTTTTTATATCAGAGTTGCTTCTCATTAAATAGATGCATACATTCATTAGCGAAACAACGAGCATAAAATAAATATTCTAAACTTACTCCTGTCCCAAAGCAGACAAGCCACGGTTACCCAAAGATGAGTAGGATGTCACTACTATGTTGTTCTTTCGGCAGAATTCGATTAGCTCTGGTTGTTGCAGATAAATATGATGCTCTGTTTGTAAGTTGTGCGGAATGGTCCTGCAGTGTCCAATGATTCTTTCTATTTGACTTTTATTGAAATTGGAGATACCAATTGCCTTAGCCAGACCCAGGTCGTATTGTTTTTCCATTGCCTACAAATGATTCGATTCATTGATATGTTGACCAAGTACACTATCAACAAAGTACACTCAAGACACTTTTTCGAACACCTTTTTGGCTTCAATTTTTTTAAATATACTGAACTGAAGACAGGCCGATATTCTATAAAAATGTCGATGAACTTCCCTTGGGAAAATATGTGGATCATCAACATTTATTGGATATGAAAGAGAATGCTTTTTGCAAAAGGTGTTTGCTTGTGGTATTGAAATGAAGTGGTGGAAGCCAAAAAAGTTTCTCAAACAATGACTTCGGTAATCTTTTCCCTATTTTCTGGATATATTATCATCAGCGCGGTGAAGCTGATGAGGCCAATAGCCAGAAGCACGTGTCCGCGGTTTGCCGTCCTATTTTCCTCTTTGATTATACACCCACGATAACATCTCACACGATAACCTCAATCCTCAACAACTTTGCCAAACTTCTGGAAACAATCTTGTATAGCCGTATCCATCGGTCCTCTCGACATATAATAGTTATCTGATCATCAACATGGTTTTATGAATTCTCGATCCACAATTACAAATCTAGCTGTTTTTGATCAATATTTGTGTGAATTTTCAGATCGTAGAGGGCAATTCGATGTGATGTACACAGACTTCTCTAGAGCGGCTTGGACGATAGCAGGTGAAAATCTATCGTTGAACCACCGACTAACACGGCGGTAAATTTGAGTGAGTTAACAAAGCACCCACGTCGAACCGACCGACCACATCAATTTATCACATTAATCATATTATTAGCGTACTTACGGTTTCATTTTAAGAAAATTTAAGAATATCCATAATAAATTTATACGAATCTCTCTGTATTTCAGTTTGGTGAGGCGATAATTAGAATATGGATCACCACTTCATCCAAATCAGCATGCATATACTCCGGGAAGGTCTACTGATTTTGCCCTTCATGGTTGGCAGAATCGAGAGATCATTGGAGAATAAAGAATCCACCCTGGGTATATTCATATATATCGAGGGAGCGTTTGATAAAACAACCTTTTCAACAATTACCCAGCAACTACACTCCAGGAATGTACTCCTGGTAGTAGGAGAATGGATACTCTAAATGCTCTCTAGTGAGCAATAAGTATTAATGTAGAATACGTCACAGTGAAAGGACTGGTCATGAGGGGATGTCCACAGGGACGGGTATTATTATCCCTTCTCTGGAACATAGTTATGGATACCCTGATTAGTCATCTTAACAAAAATAGATTCTACACAATTGAATACGCAGACGACATAGTTATCTTGCAGACCGGCAAATTTGTAAACACACTGTGCGATAGAGCGCAGGATGGGCTCAAATTAATAGAAACATGGTGTCAGGAACACTCACCGTCGATCAATCCCAAGAAGACTGAGATGGTCCTTTTCACCAGGAAAAGAAGTTCAACGGGCTTGAAACCTCCCAAAATCTTCAAAAGCAAACTAAACTTCTCTGAAGAGGTAAAATACCTTGGTACTATCCTCGACAGGAAGCTAACATGGAACTGTCATCTGCAGAGTGGAGCAAAAAGAGCATACGTGGCTTATGAGCAATGTCGGAAGATAGTGGGACGTGCATGGGGTCTTTCACCCCGTGTGGTCACCTGGATCTACACCTTGGAGATAAGTTCAACGGGCTTGAAACCTCCTGAAATCTTCAAAAGCATCTGAAGAGGTAAAATACCTTGGTACTATCCTCGACAGGAAGCTAACATGGAACTCTCGTCTACAGAGTAGAGCAAAAAGAGCATACGTGGCTTATGAGCAATGTCGGAGGATAGTGGGACGCGCATGGGGTCTTTCACCCCGTGTGGTCACCTGGATCTACACTGCAATAATAAGACCTATGTTAACGTATGAAGCCATTGCATGGGAACCAAAAGTTCTACAAGCAACGGCCATCCAAAAATTATACCAAATATAGCGAATGGCTTGTTTAAACATCACAGGAGCCATGAGAACAACACCAATCGCAGCAATGGAATTAATCACGGGTCTGAACCTTCTTGATCTATACGTTGAGGCCATGTGATTCAAGTGATCATCTTCAAGAGGAAGATCAAACTTTTTGATCTTCCTCTTGAAGAAGATGACTTGGTGATCGAAATACGTACCAAGGTGTTAAAATAACGGTTTGGTGTTAGGAAAGAAGTAATATTCATTACTACACCAAAGGTTCCAAACAGTGCATCACAACTACATAATTATATCAAAGAGTAGATATATGAAAACATTTCTATCAAACATGTATAGTTTGCATTTTAAATGAGAAGCTGTTGGTCAATGAACGCTATTATCATTATTATTATCTGTATAGCAGGTGTTTCTTCTATTACTACATTTTTGTATCTATAGTACATGAAAAATCTATCAGATGTCAGACAGGACAATGAAACTGATTTTCAAAGTCAACTTGTATCAACTTCTGATACATGGACTCGAGATAATGAATAATTGAACTCATAAGATTACACTGGAAATGCACCATCACAGGAACCGTCGTTCAAAAAACAAGCGTTGCTATACCACTCTACATCTTTACACTTACAAATCGAAGTGGGCAGTGAGAATGACAAACTACTCTCATTCATCTTGACAATAGATGACAGATAAATAGGTACCCATTTTCTCACCTTCCATATTTCCACGAGATCAGTGGATACATCTATATCGACTGACCCGTCATCAAGGGTCCTGAAGAGCTCTCCTTCCACTTCAGTGAATCCAAAAGGAGTATGGATCAAGTACATATCAACGTATTCCAACTGTAAGGCATCCAATGAACGTTTCAAATAGGTAGCAACTCTTCCGGGATTCATACCATTTGGGGGTAATTTTGTAGTAACAAATATTTCGTTTCCTGCAAAAAAACGTCGTTTTGAAACATATTCCATGAGTCAATGAGAAATAACCCGTTAAGAAGGAGAAGCAGTAACAAATTTTACAACTCGACGAGATATACTCTAAGAATCGACTTCTTTAGAAGACTGAAATTAAAATACAGTAAGTTCGAAAAATAGGCAATGATTACAATTAAGTTTAGGACACTTGATAAATATATAAAAAGCAGCGAGCCTTCCTGGTTTCGCATGGAAAGTACGAGGCGGGGAACTTCGTTTTATAATATAGGGTCTTCCAACAGGGGCTTCCAAACTTTGACAATTGATAGCAGCCATCTTGTTGAAGCCATGTTTCAGATGCGCTCCACCATGAGAAGACGTGACGAACATTTGAACAATGTTATTGTAGATCATGCCCGAAAGAAAGTAACGCGGCCGCCACTGGTAACCATAAACCAAACTTAGCTGAGAGCTCAGGAATGCCCAATGTTCCCTGCCGCTCGAAAAACGGCGAGAGTCATGCTACCGATGTCGATGGAATTTCGGCGAAAATTCTACGATGTTCGATTACGTTATTTAAACGCTGGCTGCGAACGTATCGACACAGTCAAGTACACAGGGAAGTGGACGTTACAATGCGGTACGCGAAGTTATCTAATAAGGCGACAGATATTCAAAGAATAGTTTCAGTTTAAGTATTTGTATATTTAAAGTGAAATAAAGTTAAATTTGATTATTCAGTATAGTCACTTATTGACCAACACACGGGTAAAAACGTAACTTTATATTCCACACATGATGGCATCAATAGGTCTTTCAAACGAATAAAAAATTTCGATGATAATCTCACACACACTTTGTTTCATTTAAATTTGAAGATGAGAAGCCCTCAATGAAAGACCTTTAATGAGAGACTGTGTAAAACTGTATACACCCAAAATTTTGTTACTTACTTCGTATGGAAACTTGTCAATCAATATTTATAAAGCAAGGAAACAATTAGATCCTTCGTTGATCATCACTTCTCAAAAGAAACATTTGAATCACTCCACTGAATCATGCCTGAATGATTTTCTATATCACTTAGACCTGCCTCCCTTTCGCCTTTTTGTTTGGTTCAGTCCTCGGAGGGGTCGATCATTGATTTCTATTAGTTTCTATTGATTCTCATGAATTTTTATTCCTTACTAAATTTTTATTTCTCTTTAAAAGGAATGCATATTTCTTTTTTTTCCACTTACATTCATAATTGTGTCCAGATCTAGGAAAATACGCAATACCAGCTTTGCACCACAATTTATTTATTGTTGTTAATTTAATTTTCTACTGTAATTATTATTAAAGATACATAACATCCAAGACATGCGACTTTTCAGCCCATGTGTATCTTTTACAGTCTGTTTTTGGGACTTTGTTCACAATATGGAAGAGTTGTTACTAGATAATGAATTTTTCCTCTCAGACGAAACTCAAACGGTAAAATTTCGAGATTTTATCAAACATGTCTACACTCAAGTCCTTTCCTAATTTTCGAAAATAATGTATACTCATTTCGATCAACTGAACTTGATGCACTCAGAATATTACCTTTAAGAAAAATATCTCATAGTTGAGTCAAACAAGTATTTCATTTCTCAAATATATGGATTCTCTGAATAAAACATCATTCAAACACATTAAAACATTAAGAATAGAGCACTTCCTCACGACCCACGTTTTCCTATCAAGAGTAGCATCATCAGAAAATATCTAAACCTCTAACAGTTTGAATCCTCTTCTGATGGTGCTAACTTTGTTAGCGAAACTAACGATGCTCTTTCTAGTTCTGGTTGAGGGAAATGTGTTTTTATTGTATTCATTTCACTACGAAAGTCTAGATTCAGTGATTTTTAGCGTCACTTACTAGATATCTTGCCGGATGAAATCCATTCTTTCAACACTTTGCCGATGACTTCTTCATTTCCATAGGCGTGTGCGGTATCGATATGTCGATATCCTGTTGAAAGAGCAGTTTTAACAGCTTCTTCCGCTGAAGAATTTGTCATCTGGAATTGAAGTAATGCATGTTAATGAATAACCTGAATTTCAACATCAGAAGATATAAAGATATGGAGTTTCACTGGGTAATACATCTTACATAGTATTGTCATTTGCTTGTCAGTTTTTATAAAACATGAAACTTGCGAAAGTAATTCAATATGAGCAACCAATGTTGAACACCAATTTGTCTGTATGGAGTGGAAGCTGCAGAGAAATCCAGAAAGCGATTTGTCATTCGACGGGCGAAGTCAAAATTCAACTTCTCTTCGAAAAAAGTTAATATTCGAACTTGACTCAATACTACCCACATATTATCACAATTTTTCGGATTCTAAATGACTCACACTCATCTTAATGAAGCTGAATATTTTTTCGGGAGTCCCACATCCACTGATTTTGCTGTTTTTCGGGAAACAATGATAGAGGGTACATTCAATTGACATGGTGTTCTAATATAGAGACAAGCTCTCTTTTTTTACGGGCCATTTCAAAGAATTTGAATCAGGCAATAATTATTTGTCTCTACAGATCATTGCAGCTGGGCTTTATCACTCACCTATCTGAGAATGTCAAAAGGTTAATGCACCACCAGGAATGTTACAGGTTATAATGAAATACGCATTACGGTTTTGTAAAGTGGTTCATGAAAATTTCAGATTCAAGTGTTACTTCATTACGTTATCCTGGATTTTCATCAAGAATCGACCAATTCCATCATATAAAGGATGGATTTTGAGGGAACTGAGAACACATTTTTAGAATTTGTACTCTTGTGTCTCTGAATACTTTTGAATCCGTGTTGGACTAAAATTTGAAACACTTGAATATTCATACTCAGGAAAAAATAGAACGTCAAAATAATATTTGACTTTTCTGCTGACTTTCATGGATGACATGTTTTATGTATTCATATTTTTATACAAGGTAATTTCTGATTAACAACAAACAGAGTTCGAAAATCGTAAACAATTCAACAGAAAACGACTTGTTATTTTTTTGATCTCATAATTTACTTTTGATATTCAACATTTGAAACTATTTCTAGTAAGAAATAATTCATTGAAAAGAGTCCTAACTCCCTGAACTGTAAATTTAGTGTGTATAATTTCAATTGAGCGGTGAAAATGTGGGTAAAAACGAGCAGCCAAAAAATTCCTCTCAATAATGCCTTTGTTGAATATTTGCATGGAATTTTCTGATTGATTCAGCCGTTACTTGATGAAGATCCATAGTAATTTCATAAACTACACCTCACGATTTGATCTCCACAAACTTTATTTGAAAAATATATATTACAACATATTTCGCTAACACAAATCAAATGATTTGAATACTTCAAGTTGCTTCACACACTAATATTTATATACTTAAAGTAACCATAATTGAGACTACCTCCAAAAAATTATCTAAACCTCTACCTAAAGTTTAAAATCTGTTTTTTGTTAATCAGCTGTCGCCCCCATACGAAGGACAACTCTCGGAGGTTGAGAAACTTGTGCGAGCTAAGGAGTAACGAGGTCTTACCTATCAACCTGTGATTACTAACATGGTTGCAGAATTATCCAGCTTCAACCAGGTGAATTCTCTTGATGAAAATATCTGGTCGAGGCAGGAATCGAACCCACGGTCTTCTGATCGTGAGCCGGGCGCACTACCACCGCGGCCAATTCCACAACCTCTTCAATTATGATCTTCTGAAGCATATTATCTACACTTCACCAATAATAATTCTTTGATAGTTTTTTATAAAAACAAGTTCAATAATGGTGATCTATTCAAATCCAGTTGGTTATTCCTTAGAATGTTTGAATTTTTAAGTTCATCAATTTTCATTGCTTCCAAATGATTCAGTTTCAAACCTTTATTTTCTATGTGCCAAATTTCGAACTCTTTGTTAAAGATATGATTTTCTTCTAGAAGATGATTTGAACGTGTTGAATTTGTTTTCTCCTTTGCATAGCTTATATGATGTTCCTGGATTCGATTTTAAAATGTTCTGCCAGTTTGACTAATATATACCTTAGGACACGTTCCACACTTCAATTTATATATTCCTGACTTCTCGAATTTGGATGTTTTGTCTTTATTATTTTTAACTAACTGGAATTTAATATCTCGTTTCCTCAAAAATTAAGCCACTTTTTCCGTTGTTTGTCCAAAATACGTTAAAGCTCTTATCGATAGGACACACGTCTCGAATCTCTTTTGCATAGACTTTCTTGGAAAGTATTTTGTTTATTAATTCGGCTTTAAACCCTTTGTTTACCGCAATTTGCTTGATGATATTCAAGTTCTTTATTGAAATTATCTATTGAAAGCGGAACATTGACTAATCTGTGAATCATGCTATTAGAAGCTGCTTTTTTGTGTTGATAAGGATGGGTAGAATCGTAATGTATCCGTATAGGACGGTTTGTGATAAATTGAAAAATCATGTTTGTTTTTCATTCTACTACTTGTTAAGTCCAAGAAATTGATGAGTTGTCTGCTTCTAATTCAATAATGAATTTAATGTTTTCATGAATTTTGTTAATATCCCTAAGAAAAGTATCTAATTGTCTTTTAGTACCTGTAAAACATGCCAAAACGTCATCCACATATCTATGCCAATACAAGAAATTCTTAATCAAAGGATGTTTATAAATCGACTTCTCTAGATTATCCATGAAAATTTCCGCAAGTAAGGGACTTAATGGATTTCCGTTTGAAGAGGAATAAATATTGTTGTTTAATTTCAAATACTGTCTTCTGGTACATAACAACAGATTTGCATAGAAAACTTAATAATTTTTGAAGTTGTTTCTTTCTCTGGAGCTATTAGATGAAGTATTTGAAAACAGTATCTCTGGAAATCAAAGGTGATGAAAAATTGATCAATGTATTCACAACACAGAAATGATATTTCAAAATTCTTCATTCCCTCCTTTGACAAATAGTTGAAATAAAAATATGTCCATATGAAATTTGAAAATGTTTAGTGGAATTTCATGTATTAATTTATATGGTGATTTTTAGGTAGAAACCGTTTTCTGAAATAACTTTCCAGCGATTTCACACTTTTTTCAGAAAAGTTTCTGCTCTTCCATTTCAGGTGTGTCCTTTAAATGGAAAACAGCGTTCCCAAAAGCCATTTATTACCAACTGTCCACATGAACATTCGACACAGACCCATAAAAGTTTTCATATAAAAAATTACATACAAACTGTACTTCAAATATTTTACTAAATACAGAGTGAATATATTACACTCGTGTTTGTTAATTTTCTGAATATATTTTTCTTTGGCTTTGTTTCAATTTCATAATTTTCTCAATTCAATTGTTTTGGAGAAATATGTTATATTTGTGCCTCACTTCAAATTGAATACTGGTGAAATAAGTATTGCTAAGAACAGGAATTTTGAAACCTGTCTCAAGTGGTTTCGAAAGAAAAGAGATTGCATAAAATATGATTTCCAATACATAAAAAATTTCACAATTCACTCGTAGTTGATCAGGCAGCTCTCAATACCGAAAATTTATCCACTGCCGGTCCTGTATGATTCCGGAGGTTGACTCATTTACATAGCACTTTGTTCAGTTGACTTTGTTCAGTTTTTCAATGATTTCTAACATCAGACAAAACGGAAAGTTTCAATCGTTTCATTTTGTGACATTCTGTGTATTTGAAATGTTCTAACATATATAATCGTCACATATCATCAACGAACATTGTTGAATTGACCAGAAAATGTAGGACTGAAGAGGCAAAACAATTTATTCTCGACTTTCTATTATCTAGAAGTAAACAAATGTTTGATATTACTACTCACCATCCATGTTCCAAATCCAATAGAGGGAATTTTGCGTCCATTTCCTAATTCAAATGAGGGCACCGAATTCATTTTCTTGGTAGGACTGCAATACACAGCTATACTCGTGTCGAAGAATATACTAAACAGCCCAAAACATATGAAAATGACTAACATCGTTGTTAGTTATTCAGTTATTATTCCAAAAAAATATCGGTAAATACTACGTTTTGAAAAATTCCGTTTGATTTGGAAACGTTTTTCTTGTGGTTAACAAAGAGTCTTCTACTCACCTGCCACAGAACAAGTTTCACCACTTATAAACACTTTGCCGGCTAAACTTTAGTACTACTTGTTTCGACCTCGATAACCTTGACAAAAATCATTATTGTTTTCAAGAAAAAGAACCTGTTATCTTAATCGGATGTTTATTAATATATATTGTTCTGTCGTGAACAGATATCACTACTCGTTTCCAATATTTTTACGAAGAAATTATAATTGATGTATGCCTACTTCAGAAAATAATTGAATTTTGACCTTCAATGTGTATGCTGATTTTGAAATGAAGATTTGAGTGAATTGTCATTCATCTGTGGATATTTCATACCCCATATTTCACCAAATCAATCGCCATATTGTATCGCCTTCATTCTGAAGACGTTAAGATCAATCAATTTTATGCAGAGTATATATGTTGGGAGCGCGAAAAAGAGCAGAATATGCTTACGAGATTCAAAAAAAAGTAATTTCAACTGTTTTATTGGAGAAGAGGTATCGACGGTACAAGCTTTAAGTGGAATCTCTGCATACTTTGATGAAAAAAGGGAAAACCATTACTGCAAAGGGTGGAAACAATCTCACCTCAGATGAAGGCTTGTCCCCTGCTTGAGACCTTGTATTAGTTTAGCTACTCAGTTTTCGGGACCCTCAATAGACATTACAATCTGGTTATACAGATTAGCCAATTATCCTAGTCCAGTATGTGGTATGAAAATGCAGTAATGGGACACATGTAGCAGACCCTGAAATTAATGGATTCTGGACCAACAATTGCAACAGAAACTAGAAGGTGATAATTGTCATCAGAAGGTGATATCCAGTGCTCAAAAAGGTCAGTCATAGACTACAATACATCTCTGATCGATATCCTACTAGGAGGATAATTGTCCAATCAGTAGTGAGCATTCGCATGGACACCACGGTCACGTCACCCAAGAAATATAAATACAACTGAATACGGAGCTCACAGTCAAAAAACTTGAACTACACACTGACGCACACAAGTGACTAATTACCTAGATTCCCAATCAACGAGAAATACACTCTCAATGCACATTTTATCACATCTTGAAAGCCTGCCATGAGCTTGCATACTTTCCCACCACCTGAAAACAGGCAAACGCTAGAGTGATCCCCAATCTCGCAAAGACCACACAACCCTGATTCCTGCAATATTAGACTACTGACAAACAGACTCAGTGATTCTCTATTTCTCAATATTTTCCCTATGTACCAGCATAATTTCCACCCCGAGCATTCCATCTAACATGCCCTCTATCAAAACATCAGCTTTCTTTTCGGCACGGTTGCCGTCATACTTGATATTCAAAAAGCTTTCATTTAGGTCTTGCACGCTGGTAATGAACTCTCCTTCACACTTTATCACGCCAATTGTCTGCTATCTCTCCAACCGGCAAATTCTTATGCGGCCAACAAACACATGCTGTTTTCCTCAGCCCCAAACACACGAATATCACATACCCAAAGCATGATAAACCTGTTCGAACTCTGGTGTGGTGAATCAACATGAACCCCAATAATATACCAATAGACAATAGTATACAATACAGTAATAGACTAACTATTAGAAACTTCCACTTCAGCCTGTTGGGAGAAAACCTTACACTCCAAGACTCGGTATGTGATTTGGAGATGTTTTTCACGAAGCCCCTCAACTGGGAAACCGACCTACGCTCCGGAAAGGAGTTAATCTGAGGGCATTGAGGTAAGCTCAAAACGTGCGCCCGTAAAAAGCTACTGTACACATATAAAATGTGTATGCCATGATCTACTGCGCGGTCACTTCAAGATAATTCCACCGTTACCAACAAACGAGAAGAGAATCCTCCGTAACATCTACAACCTCCCTTATGTATTCCCTTCTGACCAACTATACTGAATTTCTCAATTTTAGTGAACGAAACTACCATTTCCAACTTGAAGATTCATTTTTTTACGCAATATGAGGACTGCCACTGGGATCGCCCCTTTCATATATACAGTGTCACCATTGAAGTGCGCACCATATGGGAAACTTTTTTTTCGAAAAGTTTCAATGAAGTTTAACTTCCTTAAAATACAGTCGC